GAGAGAGAGAGAGAGAGAGAGAGAAGGGGGATATGTGGAGGGGGATAGAAAGAGAGGGAGAATAGAATGAGAGCAAAATAGACGGATAGAGAAATAGACAGAAATTTAAAAAACAGACAGGCATGCAAACAGACACAAATTTTGAAAAACAGACAGGCATGCAAACAGACAGAAATTTTGAAAAACAGACAGGCATGCAAACAGACAGAACGGGGAAGGGATAATGTGTAGGGGTGTCTTGTTGTGATGGCTAGATTGCCATACTGTTCTGTGGAGAAAAAAGGATGTTTAAAGTTAATGCAACTAAGAGTGGTTTGTAGTGATTAGTAATTAGTTTCCCGGTCCTATTATCGTGTCATTTTTTTAGTGCTCTGTCCCTCTTCAAGTTGAGGGCGTGTCTCTAGTGATTTGCTTCCTCCTGTCTTCAATTGGTGCGATGACTATTGCTTTCATTCACTCAGGGTGTGTGATCAGTATGAACCTGTCATGTCAGCTACTCTTGGTATCCAGACCATATTGGATGATAAAGCGAGAATAAAATGCCTTTGTTTTTTTACTTATCAAGTGTATGGGCCATGGGGTTTACGACCCTGTCAACACTGTTAGGTTATGTGTGAGGCGGGGCCTGTAAATTTAACGTCCGTTTCAAATAGGACCGAATCAAATGGGTTCAGTTAGAGCCTTGCTCAGCTCTGAATTTCAATATTTTTGTGACGATGTGCTTCTCATTACATAATCGACCGTGCACGAAGTTACACATTAATTGTATCTCTATTATGCCTCTCTTATTCTAGTTTGTGAGTGAAAGCTAACAGGTGTGGGTGGTTGGTGGGTGCTCTGGTGTGGTTTGCTTCTTCTTTCCTATCAAACATCTATCTTCCTTACCTCCCCTTCTTCTTTTTTATGTTTGTTACTCTCTTGTGACACTTCTAATCTTCTGGCGCTCATATGACCTTATACAGTTGCGAGTGCCGTAAAACCTCTACTAAAACTAAACTAAAAAACTAACAGATTCACGATTCAGATGACGCACCGTCGGCCTGTCCAAAATGAAAACCGAGTGTCGCGGAAAAAATGGGTCATCTTAGGTGGTCGCCGTAGACAGTGTCATTGTAAATTGCTGCTTTTAAAACTGATTTTAAAAAAAAAAGTATTATTAGATACTTCAACCCATCTGACTTGCAAAGTAAAACCAAAACGTGCTGTGAACTAAAGAGAAAACAACCGACTTGTGTCCTGCACGCTCATAATGTGACTGTATGCAGTTCTGAGCGTCGTAAAACTTCTACCAAACTGAAACTGAAACTTCCCCCTATTGTTTTTGTTTGTGTGTCTCATAAAAAAGAAGAAGCTTGCGTGGTGGTTGGCGGGTGCTCTCGTTTGGTTTCTCCTTTTCCCCTAAAAAGACTCTTTTGTCGTTACCCCCCCCCCCCCTCTTTATTTTTTGTGTTTGTTACTCTCTTGTAAAACCTTTAATTATATATTACCTAATTCTTTTGTAAGTGCTGTAAAATTCTTCCTTAAAGTTTATATCTCCTTCTTCTTTTCTTTGTCTGTTATTCTCTAGTAACAGCAACACCTCCATCCTTTGGCACTTATAATATGACCTATTTTTGTGCCAAGTGCCGTAAAAATCTTACTAAAACAAAAATGTACCAAATAAGTAAATAAAACAATATCAAACCTTTCTGTCTCTAGATTTGTCCGGCCTGTTTCCTGTGGTGTTCAACTTGGCGACCCGCGCGAGGATCCAAGCGAACGCCACTTGCGGCCTGAACGAGCCAGAGGTCTTCTGCAAGCTGGTGGAGCACGTCCGCATCTTCCCGGCCGAGAACCGTCACTGCGACATCTGTGACGCTCGGAGCGACAACCAGGCACAGAGCCACCCCATCCAGTACGCCATTGACGGCAGCCAGAAATGGTGGCAGAGCCCTACGCTGACGAACGGGGCGGGGTTCAACCATGTCTCCATCATTCTGGATCTTGGCCAGGTATTTTTTTCTCTTGCTTTTATAGTAGTTAGATGTCTTCCTTCCAAGCAAGATCATTTAGGAGGCGCTTAAACAACCCTTTTTTCTGCAACTATAGTTAGCCACCATCCACTGAAGGAAGCGTTTTATCTTGCTGCAAATGTAATTAGATCTAGGTGTCAACCTCCTCCCAAGCTAGATCATTTAAGTGGCGGGTTAATCAGCCATTTTGTTGCCACTGTAGTTAGACACCACCCACCGAAGTTAGTGTTTTATCTTGCTGTAACTGTAATGAGCTACCATCCAGGCAAGTAAGATCACCAAGGAGGTGGGTTAAACCGTTTTATCTTAATGCAACTAGTCAGCTACCATCCACCTAGGTAAGATCATTAAAGTTCAGGATACGTGTCAAACACCCCGTTTTACCTTGTTGCAACTAGTTATTTTCCATCCCACCCAACCAATTATACTCATTTGGGAAGCGAGCTGTTTGACCCTCTTGCCAGGGTCACGTGGGCTATGTAGATTTCTTTCGAGCAAAAAGATGAAGATGATCCCAAGTGTCTTCCTTTCCAGTGAGTCAAGCTCACGTCCTTTACTTGCGAGAAAAGTTGCTGACAGACCTTATTTTCCCACATATTGCTTTCAGACTGTTAGATTTCTAACACGGGGGAATTTTGATATTAATTACTGCCACAAAATACATGAATCAGCAGATAATGATGATGAGATGATGATGATGATGATGATGATGATGATGATGATGATGATGATGATGATGATGATGATCCTCAAAATTGTTATGAAAGGATCAAAGCCTCTAAAATTTGATCTTTTTAGACTAAAATATTAACGCCACTACTCCAAGCATATTTCTCAGACCACCTTTGGTAGGGAAAATAAAAGGACGCTAGTAATCTTGTTTTACAGCGCTGTTTAGTCTCGTTTTGTTTATATAGGTCAAGCCATTAAGACTAGTCATTTTTCATTTCTGGGGACGTACAGAACAGCATCCTCCTTTTTGATTAGATTCCTCCAGTGTTCTCGAAAAGCTCTTGACGAACACCAGCTGGAAAAGTTAGTTATAGTTCTCTGAATGTGTTTAGCTTATTCTGATGTTTTTATTTTTTTAAGCCAGTCCATTCCAAGCAACTGGTGCTTTTTTGTTTTGTAGCTCGAAGAAAATAATATGCACTGATTTAAATTCTCAGGTTTTTTGTTGTTGTCTCAGTCCATTCCCACTAAGTGACGCTGTTGCATTTATACATTTTCTAGTCAAATATTAGTCCCCCCCAAAAAGAAGAAAGAGTGTTTGACGACAAAATTCTTTCTTGGTTTCCCCC